GCGAAGCTGCTGCGCCCGTCCCGCAGCGGCAGCTCGTGGCCGTTGAGCGCCACGGCGTCCAGGCAGCCCTGGAAGGCGGGGCGCACTGGCAGGAGAAGTAGGGAGGCTGGCGCTGGGGGTAGCAGCTGCCCCCGTGCTGGCAGGGGCCGCTGGCGCAGCCGGACTCGCAGTCCTGGGGGTCGGGGCAGAAGCAGCGGGGCCCCGCGGCCGTGTGCACGCACTGCTCCCCTCGCCGGCACTTCAGTTGTCCGCAGCTGCTCTGGCACCGGGCCCCCGAGAATCCCTGCGGGACAGCGGGACAGTGAGGACCAGGCCATGGGGCTCTGCCACCCCCCCCGCCCCCCGCCAGTCTGGGCGCAGCTGGGGCCCCGCCACAGCCCCCCCCGGACCGACTTCCGGGGGGAGGCCTCTCGGGCGGGAGGGGAGAAGGGGCGCGGCCCGGGCCGGCACCTGCACCGGGGTGAGGCTGGAGAGGCAGCGGCACCCGCCCAGCCCCCGGGGCCCCTCAAGCCAGGAGCTCGCCGTGGGCTCGGGCACCTCACGGGCGGCCCGTGCCTCCTCCTGCTCGGCCCCCCCGAGCTTACAGGGCGAGTTTTCTTCTGGGTCTCGCGCAGGGCGGTCTCTGCTCCAGGCAGCCTCCGGCGGGGCAACGAGACCGAGCAGCGGAGGGCCGACAGGGCTCCTCCGGGCGGCTCCGCCGAGGGGCGAGCCCGGCAGGCCGCTGGCCGGCTCAGACCCCGACAGCGTCCGCCTTCCCGGAAAATCTCCCGCCACTCCCAGAGGCTCCCCGCACGCCCCACCGGGCAGGGGTGAAGACTGATGGCGTGGGCTAGGGGCCTCACTGGCCCCGGGCGATCCCCAGCAGTCTGGCGGAAACCCCAAGAGCTTTCTTCCGAGGGCGCTGACTCAAGCGACATGCCCTCCGGGGCGCCCCCGGGGGCTGGGCAGCTGAGCGGGGGGCTCCTCGCACGGGGAGCGGGCACTCACCGGGGGGCAGCGGCAGATGAAGCCGTCGGGCATGTTGCTGGCCACGGCGCAGGTGCCTCCGTTCAGGCAAGGCCTCTGGGGACACACGTCGATGAAGGTCTCACAGTGGCGGCCTGGAAGCCGGGCGCAAGCAGTGAGAGGCGGC